AAAAAAAAAAAAAAAAAAAAAAAAAAAAAAAAAATCAGCACTTGTCATTCTTTCTCTTTATTTCTAAGCCATTGGGGAGTGGTTTTCAGTTATGATACCCTTAGCATTTCAGTGTATTTTTCCTAAAGGATGCTATTTATTTTATTTTACAATATTTGCAGTCCAGGGATTGAACCCAGGGCATTTGTGCTATACTTGATTCTGAACCCTTTTTATTATTTTTTATCTTGAGATAAGAACTTGCTAAGTTGCCAGGTTGGGCTCCAAGGCACTGTCTCACAACTGCAGTACAGTGATCCAAGTTGGGCAGTGCAGTGTTGGCAGTGCGGGTCAGACAGTCCACACTACATGACAGCCCTTGTCAGTGTTTTCTCGGTGGCACCGTTTCCTGCTCTGCTCCAGGAGGGCATGTCACACTCTCTGGTCATGTTTTCAATTCCCAAGTCCTCTTGCTCCTGTGGTTTACAGCATTAGCTGCAGGCAGGGTGGCCTCTTCACAGAGCAGAGTAGTGCTAGCATCTGGGCCCAGTGGGAGGCACTTCCCCGTGGGGACCTTGTGACACCACGCAGGTGACCAGGTTCGGGCTCATTCCCCTTGTGGGTGAACAGCCCGTGTCCATTTATCCCAGTAGAAGAGGCGTGTGCAGATGTGAGGGTGCATGGGATGGGTCTGGGTTGCAGGCTCATGGCTGACGGTGCCAGTGCCGACATCTGTGGGTCTGTAAGCCCAGGGGGCAGTGAGCAGCCACCTGTCTTCTGGGAGGCAGTCTGGTCCCGTGAAGCCAGGGGCTCACAAGAAGACACGCTGGTGAGTGTGGCCCTGCCCAGGAGTGTATGGAAGGGCTCCTGCGGTCTCCCCACATCTCTGAGCGTCAGCAGGTGCTCTGCACTGGCCCCACCACATCGGGATCTACGGGAGACAAAAGCCAGAAGATTCAGCTTCTGCCTGAAGGAGTGGAACAACCATGGCCTCGAGGTATTTCCAGGGCTCTTTTGTAGGTGTGCGATCTGAAGGTGCCGTGTTCCAGCAGGAGTGGGGCATGGGCACCCTGGTGTGCTGAGCCTGGGAGCCCCTCCGCATGCTGTCCTTGGAGCTGTCACACTAAACCAGGCCTTCAGGCCTCAGTAAACCAACCCAGACCAGAGTAAGAAAAGGGGCCCCTTCATGGCCAGCCATGTAAGTAGAACTGGAGGGAACGGAGAGCTCAGCCATGAAAAAATCATGAGGCCGCCAAGGCAGCCGTGCTTGGGGACGGGGAGCTGCTGAGCAGGACCCCAGGGAGGGAGGAAATCAGGCCCCTGGGTTGTGCCTGGGGGTGCCCTGGCCAGCAGGGCCCCTCACCTCAGGGCCGGGGAGGGGTCAGAGGACCAAAAGGGACACCGGCAGCCTGGCAGGGGCTGGCCAACGGTGCAGTGGGGAGATGCCCTCTCAGCCATCAGGGCCCAGGGTGAGGGGGCTCTGGGAAGTGGGTGGACTTCAGGGATTTTCCTCACCTGCAGTGAGGGTTGGAATTGTGATAGGCAGGCTGCAGTGCTGGGGCTGCCCGGCTCCGCTTTCCTGTTTCCAGGGCTCCAGGCCAGTGGAGGAGGGAGCTCTCCTCTCCCCACACACACCCACAGGCAGGCCAGCCTACACCACCATCACGTTGCCCAGGCACCAGGCCTGGTGGTGTGCTGGTTGCTGTGGTAACGGGCAGCATGCCTACAAGCACGCAGCCTGGGCTCCTGATTCCTCACCTGTCTAGATGGGGGGACCATGTCCTTCCGCTGCTAGCCCCAGGGAGGCTGGCTGGGCCAGGCTGGCAAGGTTGGAAGTGGCGGGACCAGCAGGGTCCAGGGCAGCCACTCCCCTGGCACCTGGGGAAAGGAGGATCCCTGAGAGTTCCAGGATGGCTGTAGGGCTCCCACTTTGGGTGGGGCACCAACAGCTGAGGACATCTCTGCTCCTGATCCAGGTGTGCAGACTGCAGCCAGCTGCCCTCCATGCAGGTGCTGGGGGCGCTGCCCACCTGAGTGGCATCGCTGCCTGTCACAAATAGGTGCCCCTCCTAGGTTGTGCACTGCTCAACAGAGCCTTGTTCAAGGGCACTGGTCACACACTAGATGTCTACTCCACACCAGAACCTCCAGTGGGCCTGGGTCCTCCCACCCTCCCCAGGGTGCTGTCCCACGTGTGGCAGACGTGTCTGCTGTGTGGTCTGCTTGGCTGCACTCTGGGAGCCCCCCTGACCCTCCCCAACCTTGGAACCGACAGTGGAGGAGAGTGTGTGTCTGTGCCGTGTGTGGCCATCTGTGGCAGCGGTAGGTACCAGGCCTGGGCATGGGTAAGGCTGCTGGAGGAGACTCTAGTATAAATTTGCTCCTCCGGTGGGAGGGGCACCTATTAGTGACAGGCAGCGAGAGGAGCAGGAGGGCTGAGGTCAGCAGGGACTCACCCACAGCTCTCTCCCTGAGCCCCAGGTGCCCATTCCTTAGTGTCTTCTGGCACCTGGCCAGATAGAAAGGAGTCCAGGCCTTACACACGCATGTTCTTCATTGGTGTCCACTCAAGGAAAGGAGGGCCCAGGAGGACAGGAGAGCAGCTGGAGGCTGTGGTTGGAAATGCGCCGTGGCCTGGCTCCTGGTCCCGGGAAAGCCTGAGGGTCACACACAGTGATGAGGAAGAAGATACCAAGTCTGGCCCTGGTCCAGGATGGGAAGCTCAGGTTCCCTTACTTGGCTCCCAGCCCCCAAGGAAGGTGCCGGTGACAGGCAGGCAGGGTGAAGCTGAGCAGACCCCTGCACCCCCTTCCAGGATGACCCTCAGGCCAAGGGCAGAGGGGCACAGCTGGCCAGCCCCAGGCTGAAAGCGACAAGGTCAGGTGTGGCCAGCTTCTGGTCTCATGCCCCCGTCAGAGTGCCAAGGGTGTTCTTGGCAGTGTGAGTCAGGCTTGTTCCCACATGGGCCTCTGGACCAGAGTCTGTGAAGACCCTAACATCAGCCCAGTTGCCCAGGGAAGCCTCACACGTGGTAGGCAAGTGCTCCGCCTCAGGACTACAGCCTCAGCCCTTTCTTTAAAGGCAGGGTCTTGCTAAGTTGCCTAGACTTGCGATCCTCCCACTTCAGTCTCCTAAACAGCTGGGATCACAGGAGGGCCCTGTGACCTAAGAGGCAGTTACAGGGTCCCCAGGGCCACCCTGCAAGTCTGCTGAAGGCTGCCTGAATCAGGCGTCACCCTGAGCTCACTCAGAGGAGGGAGCAGCCTCCTGGGCTGCCCTCCATTCAGCATGCAGGAGCTGGCCAGGCCCTGGCCCTCTGGCTCCAGAGGTGAACTTTGCTTGACAGCACTTGCACACTAGGGCATTGTTCCCAAACTGCGCCATCCATAGAAGACGAGCACGGCCAGCACTGGAGTCCACAGGCCACGTCTGCCTCGGTCAGTGGTCTCTACCCTGTTACTGCACCAACACCCACCCTGCTGCATTCCCAGCCCATAGCTCAGGGCCACACCCAGAGCAGGACCAGGCCCAAGCTACAGGGAAAGTATGGCTGGAGGGGTGGCCGAAGGTTGCCAGTGGGGGCCTGCGTGCTGCCGGCAGTGGGAATCAGAGAAGCAGTAACTGGATCCTACGGAGGATCTGGTGGTGCTGAGGGTGGAGGGCTGTGATCGGGTTGCAGCCAGCGCACTGTGAGTTTTCCACTGGGTGGCTTTTTCTACCTTGGGATAGAGTAGGGCTGGGCTGGGAGTCTGAGCTGTGGGGCTGGGGGTGCCCAAGGTGAGGGCAGGGAGGAGAGAGGCTGGAGGTGAGGCAGCCGCAGGTGAGGAATAAGGACCAAGTGCTGGGCCCGCACAGCCACTCTGGGGAGCCGAGGTGGTCAGCACTGCTCTCGGGTCCTGCAGGACATCAGGCATGGCCAGTGCACTCCAGGAGGAGCTGAAATCCAAGCTAGGGGTAATGAAAGGCAGCCTCGGCTCCTAACCCACACCCCTCTGATCCGCCCTCCACTGCCCACTGGACACGTGAGGGCTGCCTGGGTGGCAGAGGCCGCTGGTTAGAGGGCCAAAGAAGGCAGGAGGTCCATGACGCCGGCTGGTCCCAGAGCACTCGAGTGCGATTCCCAGGCTCCTGAGGGTCCTGGCTGGCTCTGAAGATGCCGACCAACGGCCTGCACCAGGTGCTAAAGATCCAGTTTGGCCTTGTCAATGACACTGACCGCTACCTGACAGCCGAGAGCTTTGGCTTCAAGGTCAATGCCTCAGCTCCCAGCCTCAAGAGGAAGCAGATGTGGGGGCTGGAGTCTGACCCCAGGCAGGGCATGGCTGTGCTGTTCCGCAGCAGCCACCTGGGCCGCTACCTGTCGGCGGAAGAGGATGGCCGTGTGGCCTGCGAGGCAGAACAGCCCAGCCGCAACTGCCGCTTCTTGGTCCTGCCACAACCTGATGGGCGCTGGGTGCTGCAGTCGGAGCCGCACGGCCGCTTCTTTGGTGGCACCGAGGACCGGTTATCCTGCTTCGCCACGGCCATCTCCCCAGCGGAGCTGTGGACGGTGCACCTGGCCATCCACCCACAGGCCCACCTGCTGAGCGTCAGCCGGAGGCGCTATGTGCACCTGTGCCCGCAGGAGGATGAGATGGCAGCAGATGGGGACATGCCATGGGGTGTGGACGCTCTGCTCACTCTCATCTTCCAAAGCCGGCGGTACTGCCTCAAGTCCTGTGACAGCCGCTACCTCCGCAGCGACGGCCGCTTGGTCTGGGAACCAGAGGCCCGTGCGTGCTACATGCTGGAGTTCAAGGCAGGCAAACTGGCCTTCAAGGACTGCGACGGCCGCTACCTGGCACCCGTGGGGCCTGCAGGCACCCTCAAGGCCGGCCGAAACACGCGACCTGGCAAGGATGAGCTTTTCCATCTGGAGGAGAGTCACCCGCAGGTGGTGCTGGTGGCTGCCAACCACCGCTACGTTTCTGTGAGGCAAGGTAGGAGGTGCAGGCCCCTGAGCTGCGTGGGTGCGTGGCCACACAGCACAGCAGGGGCTGGGCTTGGGTCAGAGCAGGTGTCCTGGCCTCTCAGGACAGCTGGGAATCTCTGCCGAACCCTGAGACTGGGAGGTGGGACAGGTGAGAGCCAGGGCAGGGTAGTGCCACACCGAGTGGGCAAGGCTCATGTCCAGACAGGGGCTGGGGTGGGGCAGGAGACTGGCAAAGCTCCGCCCCTCCTCTTTCACCACCAGACTTTCTGGACTTTGATGGGTACTAAGAAGGGGGCAGGCCAGAGCAAGGCAAGAAGATGGCGCCTCCATGTGTCTGACTGTGGGAGCCTTGTGTGGCCCCGGGAATGATGGGCACAGGGGCAGGCAGCCCTGTCCAGGCCCTGGGCTCTTCAAGGGGAGGTGCCACCTCTGTCCCTGTGGTGCAGCCTGGATCTCCCCATTGCCCAGTTCCAATCACCTATAGGACGAACAGCAGTTTCCACTTCCTGTCCCTGTGCTGCTGGGGACCAGGCCGGCTGTCACAGTCACCACCCACTAAGGCTCCCAGAGTGGCCAGTCACCCTGACTCAGGCCAGCACCCCCCAGGCGAAGGGCAGCTCCCATGTGCTCACCAAGCCCCGCCCAACCTGTGGGATGACCAGTCTTAGGGTCTGGGCTCCAACTTCCCCATCCAGACGGAGGAGGCCAGGCAGGAGCCCCCTAGGGAGCTCAGTCCTGCCCTGCAGCCTGCACCTGCAAGGCAGGGTCCTCAGGCCAGGGCAGCTTGGCCATAGCCATTAGTCACCATGAGCAGTTGTCCCAGCACATGGCCAGGGCGTGGTTGACAGAGGACACAGGGACGGTCCTCCTCCCTGCAGCACAGCCACAGCCACTTCGGCCTGGCCCAAGGTCTCCATGCTTTCTGCGTTAAGTGGGGCTCAGGTGGTAGAGGAGCCTCCTGTGGGAGTCAGAGCTGCTGGTCACCGGAGCATCTGTAAATGGCAGCGTGAGCTCCTGCGGGGCAGTGACGGTCATGGCATGGTAAGGGTGTCGGTGATCGTGGCGGTGCGGTGGGTGTGACGGTCAGATGGTGTAGGGATGACGGGGACGGTGTAGTGAGGGCGGAGATGACCACTGTGATGGTGGAGGGACTGTGTGGAACTTGTGCTGCTGCTATGGAGGCAAGGGCTGCATGGACCACCCAGTCTCCTCTTCACTCGCATCTGATGCGCCCAAGTGAGGGAAGCCCCTGCCTAGGACACAGGGTGCCTCCTGCTTGGGAGTTCTCAGAATCAGGCACTCGCCTTGCTCAGCCCACCACTGAGGGTGCCTGGCCTGCACTCAGATGGCTCTGACTTGGGGCAGAATGAAGAAGCTGGCTGTGGCATCTGTCCTGGGGAAGCAGACCGATGGGCCAGCCTGGTTTCAAGGAGATGAGATGGGTTCTGCTGTATCTTCTCCCAGCTGTATCCTGGAGAGGCAGCACAGCAATGCTTTGGTGTCCCCCCTGGCCAGCACTCCCTAAACCTGGCTCCCTGCCCTGTGTGGGTCTGTGTCTAGATTCAGGTTATCAGTTATATTTTCTTTTTGGTTTTTTGAAACAGTCTTGCTATGTAGTTCAGTCTGGCCTTGAACTCACTGTGTAGCTCAGCCTGGCCTCCAACCATCAGCAATCCTCCTGCCTCAGCCTCCTGAGTTCTGGGATTACACACGTGTGCCACCACGCATGGCTGTTACCTTATTTTTCCTGGCTCTAACAGCCACAGTCTGCCTGTTTACTGCTATGGCAGTGCTGACGGATGGGTAGCAGAGCGGTCAGCATTTGTTGCTGCCTTTACCAGAAGACTGGCCACAAACTGATTCAAATAATAAGGCCACTGAACAGTCGTGGTGGAGCAGGGAGACTGAGGCAGGAGAATCACCTCTAGTTTGAAGCAAGCCTAGTGAGTATAAGGACAGCCTGAACCACATAGGAAGACATCTCAAGAACAAAACAAACATCAGTTGTCTCATATAAATGGGAATCCAAGAGGAAGCCACTGGACAGCATCCTGCCTGTCGGAGGTGACTTGGGGACACAGCAGTTGTGGCCTGACAGCCACAGAAGGGGCTGCAGGGCCATGTGGCAGTGACAGTGGGCAAAACCAGTCCTCCGACCAGGCTCCCTGCAGGGAGGCTATTTTCTAAAAAGTCAGTGGCTCCATGTCCAAGCACTGGCTCCACCATGGCCCAGGGTCTGAGCCTGTACCCCATGTCATCTGCTCACCACAAGCTCATGGATGTGTGAGGGTGCCGGGCTGGGGTCTGTTGGCTCAGACTAGAAGCTTCTTCCCCAGTTCAGCATTTGCAGCAGGCATGGTAGTGACTTGACCCAGGCCCCTTCCACAGCACACGCCAGCAGCTTGAGTGGGGCGGTGTGCCAGGCCTTGGTGCTGGCAGAAGGCAGCAGATCTCGGCCTCCTCTCTAGGCTGGGGCCTCCTTAGGGGCAGCTTTGATTAGGACACAGGCCCCCCCTCAGGCTGTTCTGGGCTCTACTTCCCACACCTCCCCCTCCCTCAGCCAGACACCCCTGGACTCTGGACGGGTGGGGAGGTGGCCTCTGGAACTTGTGCCACACAGATGGCTGATTGCCAGGGAAACAGGAATGTCTGCAGGAGAGGGAAAATCCTGCAGAGCCAGTGGCTGCCTGCAGCGCTCCTAGCCCTGAGAACCCCAGGCAGAGCCAGGTCCTCCTCTGTTTCCCCTAAAGGTCAAGTACATGAGTGTGGGTCCTGTCCCCAGGGTATCTCAAAAAAGGGTGGAGATGTACCGTGCCCACTGCAGCTCAGGTGGGAGTTATGAGTAGAGGCTGGGTAATCCCAGGCCAGGAGAACAGAAGCAAGCAGATTACCCTGAGATTAGCAGAGTGCAGATTTGCTGGCATGGAAGCATCTGGCTCCAGGTGTGGGAAGAGCCAGGTCAGGGGTCCCTTAGGCGCCATGTGTGGACTCTGCAGGGTCCCCACAGTCCTGATCCAATTCCCAGATCATCTGGGATGTGCCTTCCAAATCAAACCCAGATGGTCTAGATGAGACTCCCTCTGGCTTCAGGGGTTCCCCCAAAGCATGCCTCCCCTCTTAGAGGCACGAGGGGGTTCCCCATATCCTCCCTCCAGGTATCAACGTCTCAGCCAATCAGGACGAACAGCAGGACCACGAGACCTTCCTGATGCAAATTGACCAGGAGACAAAGAAGTGCACCTTCTACTCCAACACCGGGGGCTACTGGACCCTGGTCACTCACGGTGGCATTCAGGCCACAGCCACACAAGTGTAAGTGTGCCTGTCCCCGCGTCCACCACCAGCATCACACTCGCCTCCATTTCCACCGTCACCCCTGCCACCACCTCTGTTATCACCAGCATCACGCTCACCCCCATCTGCACCATCACCTCCTCTCTCTCCTACCACCGCCTCCACGGTCACCGCCCACCCCGCGTGTCATCGCTCCCCTCGTTATCACGGCCACCAGCATCACTCCCTCGGCTGTGAGGACGACTGTTGCAGCTCTGCCAGGAGAGCGCTCCTTGGGCAGGGCAGCTCCTGACCCGGGAGGGCAGGCTCTCATACCAGCTGCTGGAACTGGGGCGGACCTTGCACCCCACCTCCTGCTGCTGAGGGGGCCCTGCCCATCCCCTTCAGCTCTGCCAACACCATGTTCGAGGTGGAGTGGCGCGGACGACGGGTGGCACTCAAAGCCAGCAGTGGGCGCTATGTTTGTATGAAGAAGAACGGGCAGCTGGCGGCCATCAGTGATCTTGTGGGTGAGCACTCTGCCCCATGGCTGGGCTCTCCCCAGGCCGTGCCTGTGCCGGGGCCCCTCTCCTCCCATACCCAGAACTGTTGCTACCACGCAAGTCTCACTTGCCAAACTAGACAGCCGGTCCCAAGGTGTCTGTCCTTCCCTCCACCACACCTCTGGGAACCACAGAGCCTCCTTAATTCCTTGCACGCTTGGAGATGCCGGAATTGTGGCGCAAGGCCCCTCACCAGGTCACACACTAGACGAGGGCGGGCCTGGGCCTCCACACCCGAGGCCAGGGTTACCCCACGGGCCGCGTGTGCGGAAAAGTGGTAGCCGGTGCCCTCTTGTACAGGTGAAGATGAGGAGTTCGTCCTCAAGCTTATCAACAGGCCCATCCTGGTGCTGCGTGGCCAGGATGGCTTCGTGTGCCACCGGCGCGGCTCCAACCAGCTGGACACCAACCGCTCGGTGTACGACGTCTTCCACCTGAGCTTCAGCGACGGCGCCTATCAGATTCGAGGTGCGTGGGAGGGACCGTGGGCGGTGAGCCACGCGCACGGGAGCGGTTCGTCCTCAAGCTTATCAACAGGCCCATCCTGGTGCTGCGTGGCCAGGATGGCTTCGTGTGCCACCGGCGCGGCTCCAACCAGCTGGACACCAACCGCTCGGTGTACGACGTCTTCCACCTGAGCTTCAGCGACGGCGCCTATCAGATTCGAGGTGCGTGGGAGGGACCGTGGGCGGTGAGCCACGCGCACGGGAGCGCGGTGCT